AATTTTTGTTTTAGAAAATTTATTTATTTATTTTGTTTGTTCTTAGCTGTTCGACAATCATTTGTTGTTCCGATGCCTGCTTATTTTGATTTGGAAGATCTTAAATATTCATTCAAAATTGCATTGTCTTCATCTAATCCTAATGAATTATTAGAATCTATTCAAAAGTCAGGTATTGTCTATTTAAATAAATGATGTAATTGATTGCTTTGCGCTTAATTCAAAAACAAAAATAGAGACAAATGTTCACTTTTCAATCGTCCAAGAAAAGAGTATTTACTTTAATCGATACATCATTTACACAGTGATCATTCTTCAAAGGAATGATATTGAGAAAAATGTTTAAATTCTTTGCTACAGAATACAAGTCTTTAGTCAAGATTGTCGAAATCAAACAAACAACTAGTGATCATTATAAGACTGATTGACTGGTTGTGTTTGTTTTCATCTTAAAATAATATGTAGTTAATATATCAAGTTTTGGGAAAGGCTTTTCGCTCAAGACAAAAAAAAAAGTAGATCCTATTGAATACCAGAAGTTGCAGAGTCGACTAGAATAGAATAAAACTCAATAAAGAAAACATAGAAAAATCAGACTCATAGTTTCAGACAAGAAGGAAAAGTGAATCTAAGAACTTCTCATAAAGATGTATTTCAATGAATTCTAATGAAATTGGATAGATTTCCTAATTCTCTGAATCCAGAAGGAACTATCAGAACTCACGTGCACTTTCTTGATTTCAAATCATACTGAGATTGGGTGATCTCCTTTTCGTTTTGATGATCTTCAATAAATTCTGATGAACTTCTGTGGTGCAAATCAATAAATCTACTGTAGGGATCACTAGAATTCTGGATGTGCTTTTTTTTTCTATGCAGATGTTCCTAAACCTACGACATTAAAAATTTTTATCGAGTAAAATCAAAACTTTGAAAAATGAAAAGAAGCATCACCAATTATCTCAGTTTGTTAAATGCATTTCATGTCAAACTATTTAACATTAATAATTCATATCGATCTATTATTGATAAACTAATAAATTGATGTGTTCTTCTTTTTTTGAATCTATTTTCATTCTTTATTTTGACAGATATTGATAATCTTGTTCAAGAACATTTAAATGTTCTTGTTCGTCTTTATTCAATTATTCAAAATCAGCTTTATGAAGCAAATCGTCTTCAATTAGATGCCTATCCATTACCTAAAATTACTCCGATAAATAGTTCTCATCCACATATTCGTCGTTTAATATTTTTACGTCAATATGAAATGTTATATTCTTTACGTTCAATTCAACAAACACGATTTGATATAAATGAATCACCTATTATTATACGAATCATAGATAAAAAACCGATTGATAAATATAATAATTTATGGGAATGTCAAATTGAACGTGGTCAAGAAATAATTTCGAAAAATTTAACTGAAAATGTGACAAATACAAATGATTTTCGTACATATCCATATTTAATTTCTGAAGATATTTATACAATTCGAACATTTCCTGATGCTATTTATATGGACTTAGCTATTGATAGTGTTTCTTTTCATAAAAAATTTGATCAATGTGGTTTAGCTCATGTTGAACAAAAAGAAGAAAAAGAAACAATATTTATTCGTGTTAAACTTTGTAATCTTTCTCTTGAAATTAATCATCAATATTATTTAAGTGAACGTTATGTAGATTTCAATACTAAAAAAGCTATACAAGCATTAGAACAAGCTACTCCATTGACAATACAAATATTAGATGATCCAAGACAGTTGCCAAAACCTGAAGCAGTTCAAAAAATAAGTGAAACAATGCAACGAGAAATATCAAATATGTTTTCAAAAAGAGAACCTTCAATTAAACCTGAACGATTACATATGCTTAATAAAGCACAACAATTAGCATGTGAAAAAGTTAAAAATGAACGTGTGACACTTATCTGGGGACCTCCAGGTATGAATATTGTTTTTATTTTGTTTGAAGAAAGATATGTTAAATATGAAAATTCTCATGAATATTTCATTACGATCTATTAATCATTGTTCACTACAAGTTTCATGATATGACAACGTTGTGCGAATTTCATTTTGAATGACCCACTATGTGAACAAAATATTAACAACTATAATAAGAATTAGAGTTTTTTTCGTTGATAATTTAACCGTAATAGAACTATTTTCATTTATGTTTGTCGTCTAATAATTTTTGTTTTTTAAAATTCACTTCATCAATTAATATATCTTAATTGATTAGAATCGATCATTTTTTTTCCTATTAAACAACATTTTAATGAATTGAATGATATCATTGTAATAAGTTTCGCTTATTTGAATAAAAGTTTCACTTATTTTATGCTGAGACAAAACAATATTTATCACAAAAAAGATACATGAACGAAATATGTAAGAGAGAGATTGTCACTATTTCTTTGGATTAATATTTTTGAATTGTTGTCTTGAACTATAGTACTTCTAAAGATAATTGTTAATATTAGATTTTCTATTCTAATTTCAATCAATCGTTAGACACTTTCATTTGTAAAATAATTTTTTATAGGTACTGGTAAAACTTTTTGGTTAAGTGTAACTGCTTTTCAAATGTTAATGTTTTCATCATCTCCATTAAATATACTAATCACAGCTTGTACTCATACAGCAATTGATAATCTTCTTTCATCAATAAATCATTTAAAAAAGCTTTTTTCTTTATCACCACAATTTCCTCAATGGTATCAATTAGCTCAAGGATTAATCGTATTAAAAATTGATTCAAATAATTATCGTGATCTTTCATCTTTATATGGAAAACGTTCTATCATTGTTGGTTCAACAGTATGGACATTACAAAAACTTGATCGTTCAATTGTTTTTGATGTTATTTTTATTGATGAAGCGACACAAGTATTAACAAGTGATGCTGTTTTAGCTATAAATCGTTTAGCTGATCATAAAGAATCACGATTAATTGTAGCTGGTGATCCATTACAATTACCACCTATTAAACGTTGTGTTTATCCATCTTTACCTCATCCTACACCTGATTTATTTTCATCTATTTTTCATTGTTTATTACGTGATGAAAATAATATTCCAATATCATTATATACAGAAAAACCATTTGAACAAATATCACGTTGTCCATATTTATCTATTTTTGATGAAAATCATCGTAGGTTTATTTTTATTTTGTTATTTTTTTTTTTCGATTATTCATTTATTCTTTTAGGTATGAATGATGAATTATCAGATTTTACTCGTCTTTTATATGGTGAAAATTATCATCAAAGTCGTTCGACACCTTTACTTTCTATTCGTTCAATTGATAATTCGAATACATATCTTCTTGGTTCTCTTCTTCAACCATATAGTTCACTTTATACACTTCTTATTGATTCATCATCAGGTTTATTTTCAACTCGTAGTGAAGATCTTGATCTTGAATCACGTCTTGTTTATTCTCTTATTAAAGAACTTGTTTCACGTATATCTCTCTCATCATTATTCATTATAACTCCACATCGAATGCAACGTTCTGCTATTCGACAAAAACTTTTAAAAAATCCATTTTCGAATGTTTTAATAACATATGATACTGTTGAAAGAATGCAAGGAAAAGAAGCTCAATGTGTTATAGTTTGTATGCTATATAGACAACGTGAAATACTTGAAAATGAATTGGATTTTATTTATAATCGACAACGTATTAATGTTAGTATAACTCGTGCAAAACAATTATGTATTCTTTTAACATCACAATTATTACTTAATCAACCACCATTAGAACTATTTGTTAATGGAAATACAAGAAACGCTTATACTTTATTAAGTAATTATGTTAATAAATCTACTATACGATTATTGGATAATCATGGCAATATTAAATAACTTTATATTTCAATTGAAAAAAAGAACTATGATCAAATTTGTTTTTTTTTTTTGATAGTTCGAATGTTTAAATAAGATTTATGTAATCTACATCAGTGGCTTTCTTTTGACACGTAAATCAAAGAGAACAATTTATCGTGAGAGTTTATGTGCGTTTTATAATTGATCAGAATAAAACATTTATAATTACTAAAAATTTGACTAGAAAAAAAAACTTTACATAGCACGAAATAATATTTGAATTGGTGTTCATTCTAAAATATATATTTCTCTAGTTTCCGACTAGTTTATAATCGAGGTTCTTTCTCACACATAGATCGTACCTGAATTGTGCATTCTTTCTATATCAACATAAAGCAAATTTAAACCTTTAAAAGAAGATACTTTTCTAGAATAAATTATTTTCTATACTTTATTTTTAATAAAGTGAATATGTATGTACAATTCATGGATATTATACTAAGATGTAATGCATTTATCACAATAGAGAGAACATGTTTTATCACGTTTAGTCTTTGACAAACATGAAACAAGCGATGCAGCAAATAGATCTGTCTTTTTTGTAATCTGAATCGACAGCATAAGTCTATTTTGGAATCAGAATTGGAATCGCTCATCACTACTTCAAATGCAAATAATGATAGTAAGGAAGAGGAAAAAAAAGATATAGTTGTTTAAATAAAATTGTGATAAAAACATAAAGCTGCACGTAAACTATTTTATTCAAAAAAAGTTCAGCAATACCCAGAATTGTTTTTCTTGATTTTAATATGATTTCTAATATCTATTTCAATTTTATGTAAAGCTAACGGTGACGAGAGCTGGCTTATTCGAGCAAAGTTTTTGTTTGGGTTCTCTTTGCATATATAACCTAATGTTGAAAAATAAGTCTAGTGATCTAGATTACAATTACCAAATAGTAAATTTGAAAGACAAAAAACCTGCCCATTGGACTATATTCCATTATAATTTATTTAGTTTGAAAAGAAAAAAAGTAAGATGCGCTGATTAATAAAAATGATTAATAATATTTAAAAGTGATACCTTTAATCAAAAATAATCTCCACTCCCCGAAAAATCTAGTACATAAGTCTTTAATATTTATTGAAAATAATTAATATCATTTGTTTGAAATTCCACCGGAACATACATTGCAGTTGCATGATTGAATACGTTGAATTTCCACTTTTCTTTGTTCTGTTATATTTTGTGCAGTATTAACAAGACAATCGAAAATAATTGGTTGTAAGTATGTTTTTGCAACTGAGCAACAAGTACATTGATCACCACTATCAGATTCACATTGTCCACTACATCGTTCTCGAGGAATATTTTCACGTGATATACATTGATTATTATTTATTCGTAATGGAGCACTATTATAACGACGTACCGAACAACTGGCTTGACATATATTACAATTGCATGATTGAATACGTCGAATTGCTATTGTCTTCTCTTCTGTTGTTGTTTTTGAGTCATCAACAAAACAATCAAAAAGAACTGGTTGTAAATATGTTGTTCCAATTGAACAACATTTACATTGATCGTCACTATCTGATTCACAATAACCACCGCAGCGTTCTCGAGGAAAGCTTTCACGAGATATGCATTGACCATTGTTGGCTTTTAATGGAGCATTTTCATATTGTTGCATTGTACATTCTGTAGTATTTGTTGTTGGTGTTGTTGTTAATATTGTTGTTGTTGTTATACATTGATTATCAGATAATTTCAAACCATCAGTTGTACAATAAACAATATAACAATTATCTGTTGTGCGAATAATAGTGCCTTGAACAACAGTATCATTAATATAAACAACATTTCGTGATTCAGTAGTATAATTTGAATATGTATAAATATAACCAATTTCTTCTACAAAGGAAAATAAATTTGTACTTAGGCCATGTTTCTTATATTTGTACTTACTGCTATCAGATGGTTCTCTCTGAAATGCACGTATGTAAAATGTTTCATCAAGTAAGCATTCACAACGACGATCCATACAAGATTGATATTCAACCAATTGTTCTTTATCACAATTCGGCGTCAAATTTGCACTACGAGTACGCGTTTTGTATCCGATACCACATGTACGACTACATGGTGTCCATTCAGACCATTCCGTTAGAATACACGGTGCACTTGTTGTAGTTGTTCCAGTTACTAGAGAAAATAATACAAAAACTTAAACAAACGAACAGCAGTTTTGCTATTCATACCGAAAGGTAAACAAGCAAAAACTTCAAGATGAAGATTTTTAATGTCACCATTTGGAGTTAAACGAATCTTGGTAGCATTTAGTGTGTTTGGAAATATAATCTCATTACTTGTCAAAACAGTTGACTATCAGAAATATATAAAATAGATTGACTGTCCTATTATTCTACGTGATACATACATTATTGTAAGCTATCCAATGTGGAAATACTTCCAATGCTGATTGATAGTATAAATGCCATTCTTTAAGATTGTTAGCTGATATATGAATTCGACCAATCTATAAATAAATATTTATCGGTTCAATTGACTTGTTGGCTATTCTGTATATTTATATACCTCAACAGAATAACGGAAATCGATATTAAGCGATGCAAACGCAGACGACGGTGTCCATCCAGTGTCATTGGATCGAATAATATATCCAACGACCTTTGTCTCTGTTTCTGTTGTCTCAGTAATTGATTCAGCTTGAACAAGACCTAATTCTTCAATGAGTGCATTTTCCGTTTGACATCGTAATGGGATACTTGAGGTTGTTGTTGTTTCATTAACAGCTTTGTCAATTGTTGCTGCAAATCATTACTAATTAGCAGATTTTTCGAAATTTTCAATAAACTTACTAGCAGAAAAATTAGTAGCAGTAGAAGCAGTTGTATTACTCTCTAAATTAAAAGCAAGATATAAGCTACGTAAAAGAATTCTACTCAGTTCCGAGAACTTTATTAAATATTTTTCTAGTGCATCTTTCAAGGGACGTAAACGATTAAAAACGGGAGTTGTCCATTTCAAACAGTTCAATTATGTCATTCAGTAGCATCTCTCTCCATTGAGCCCTTTTCTAGTAGAAATAATCATCCACATAAAAGATGAGGAATTAGTGGATTTCTCAAACATCTTTCAGACTTTTCATCAAAGCATTCAAAGTAAACTGTCAACCAGGATTACTATTTTTTTTCAATAATCGTCGTTTCACAGGAAAAAATCGAAACTCATCAGAACTAGCACAACATCAATATAATCACACAAAACAGTCCATAACAGACAAATACAACTGAGCAAATATCTACCTCAAATCTAACTCAAAAATTCATCAGTTCAGGCTGAGTCAGATACAAAAGATATGTCAAAAAGTATATTTGTCACTATGAATGATAAAACTCTAACACTGACAGCAAAAGCTAAATCCTCAAGTCGAAAAAATTGGAACCACATATATCCTACATTCCGAACACAAACAACACACAGCAATCTCATTGACTAGCATATCAATAGTCACAAACAGCTCAGCAGAGAGATAAACTAGTGCACTAATACCATTCGGTTGTCGTATATCCCTCATGATCACAAATACAAATCAGAATTACACAAAAAACCGATATTTCCATATACGAACAAGAAAGATGTACTAGTCGCTCACAACAAAATATTAACCCTTCCACATCTCGATTCGATACCCAACACATATTAGCATACTTCTAAGACTTTCGCTTAGTAAATCTCATTGCGACCGTGACTCTCAACCTAGCCCGCAACTCTTAAGCACAACCCAAAAAACACATGCGAGGCACTCCTATAAACTGATCCTAGAGAACATATTTAAAACAAAAAAAAATCCAAAACAGATCAGTGCACATAAACATAGAAAATCTAACGGTCACATTCTACAGCAGATACACAATGCCCGAAGAACTACGACTAACGATGCCGCTTTCCACCAAAATACAAAATTCAAACACAATATATACAAACCTATTATCGGTTCCGTACAAGCTTTAATATCTAAAACAACACCTTTCGGAGATTCATCATCTGTAGTGCGAACAATGGTGATCTCTAAATGTGATACAGGTCTATCTGATGGTATTTCTGTTGAATTGAGTTCAGCTGGCTTCGATTCAACTTCTTTTGGACTTAGATTACTGAGGATTGGTGTGTAGTTAATTTTGTTTCCATCATGTGAATAAAAGGTAACTTCAAATTGTGCAACATTTCCCTTCATAATTTTATTACGTGGAAGAGTGACTGACTGAACTTTAGTACGTTTGTAAAAGGAAACAGTAATTGTTGGTCTACGATCATTTTTATCGAAAGAAACACCTTCTTGAGATGTTGGTAGAAATTTGATGTTTTCACCTTTGGGTAATGGGTTAGGTGACGTAGTAATCTTTCTGCTAACATTTTCATCGACAGCTTGCATTTCTTCACATTCCTTCGGAGTTGTGCCTGACACTGATTGAGTAGTTGAACCAGTTAGTGTTGTTAGATTAGTATAACCAGGTGTGATACCTTCTACAATAGAAACAAAGATAACTCAAAACCTAGTTTCTTCAGGTTGAATTGATTCAAATCTAGTGATACCTGTTGTAACTGATGTTACTCCTGTTTCTCCTGATTTTTCTGTTACAGATGAAATAGTTGATAATGGAGTGACAGTTCTTGTTTCTAAAACATTGTGAAAAAGAACGATCGAAGACGTATAATACACAAATAATATAGAAATACTAACCTGTTATGGCTTCTGTGCAAGCGTTAATATCTAAAACAACACCTTTTGGAGATTCATTATCTGTAGTCTTCACAATGGTGATCTCTAAACGTGATACAAGTCTATCTGATGGTATTTGTGTTGAATTGAGTTCAGCTGGTTTCGATTTATCTTCTTTTAGACTCGGATTACTTAGGATTGGTTTGTAGTTAATTTTATTTCCATCAGGTGAATAAAAGGTAACTTCAAATTGTTCAACATTTCCATTCACTGTTTTATTTTGTGGAAGAGTGACTGACCGAACTTTAGCAGGTGTGTCAAAAACAACAGTAATTGTTGGTGTACGATCATCTTTCTCGAAAGAAACACCTTCTTGAGATGTTGGTTGAAATTTGATATTTTCACCTTCGGGTAATGGCTTAGGTTTCACAGTAATCTTTTTGCTAACATTTTCATCGATAGCTTGCATTTCTTCACATACCTTCGGAGTTGTGCCTGACACTGCTTGAGTAGTTGAACCA